CGCCTCATCCTGCCCGGCTCACGAGCACCTCCTCCAGGAAGCCTTTGCGGAAGAGTTAAGGCCAAATCCTACACTTAGCTGGGCCCAACAAAGGCCTCCCCACTTACCGCCTCCATCCTGTTCTTGCCCCCCAGGCCTCACAACTACACCACACACCTGCAACCCCATCCCCTCTTGCCAGAAGCCTCCCCCCGCCCCTCTGCCCTATGAGCTACTGCTCTGAAAGCCCTGGTTTCTGAGACCCATTCCTGAAGACTAAGCATCACGTGTGGGCCCCGGGTGCCCAGAGCCTATGGCCACACCTGCTCTCCAGGGGGTCTCCTGGGCAGTTGGCAACTCACCTGGTAGCCAGAAGCCTTGACGGTAGGGTTGTTCTCGATCTCCCACAGCCCCTCGCTGAACCCTTTCCTCTTGTTGGGCTTGCCAAACTTCTCCTTGGACTCCTCGTAAGGGAAGAGGTCTTTGGGGCCCAGGAATGCCCTGGTGAGAGATGGGAGACTGTGCTCTCAAGCCCCTCACTGCCTCTGAGCTGCGCAGCCCGCCAGGGAAGGGGCGCCAGTAACCACCCGTTTCCCCAAGTGGTCTGCCTGGGGCCCTCCCCACCTCTGCCCCCTCACTCACGTCTCATGGGTCCCGAAAAAAAAGACTTGGTATTTGTTGGCTGTTGATTTCACTGCAGCCTCAGGCATCTCGTCAATCTGTGGAGAGAGGAGGGGAGTTAGCTTGAACTGGAGGTCTGAAGTTGTGGATTTGGGGGTGGGAGGGGCTGCCCTCTAAGGCGCATTAGTGTAAGACTGAGAGGGACCCAGGAGGTCACCATGGTGGTTTTGGAATCATTCTTAACAGTAGAACTTTGTTGAAACAAAGTGAGACATGACAGCCCAGTAGAAACCCTAGTCACCCCCTCTCCTTCACAAATCAAACAGCATCCACTCTGCCCTCAACATGCCCAGATCCTATCCTTACCCTCCATGTCTTTGATATCACCCTGGTCCAACCACTGCCACTTCTTGCCTGGACTAAAACTACAGCATCTGTCTCTTCCTTCAGTCTCCCTTTTTGCCCCACTACAACCCATTCTCCCCACTGCAGTCAGAGTGAGCCTTCTGAAGTGTTGATCAGAACGAACATTTCCTCCCCCTGCTGGAAACCTTTCGATGGCTTTTCATGAATCTAGGGCTCATAATGTCAAGATCTGAATCCTAAAACTGCCGCCAATATTTGTATGACATTGGGCAACTTACAGAACCTCTCTGCCTCAGTTTCCTCAGCTGTAAAATGGAGATAGTCATAGTACTTAAGCCACAGGGTTGTGAGGACTAAATGACTGTAACCTGGCACATAGTACATCCCACATATGTGTGCGCTCTCCTCAGCCTCTACCAGTGGGCGATCCTTCAGCCTCCTATACTCACTAATGCCTCACCAGCTTCCAACCTCAGCCCCACCATCACCTCCTCCAGAAAGTCCTCCATCTCTCCCAACCTGGGCAGCTTCCCAGATGAAACTCTTAGCACCTCTCCTTCACAGTACTTTTCACAATTCCAATTTTAGTTATTCATATTATCACCTCATTAATGTCTATGGAGCATACCTGCCCTTAAATCAGAGAGCAGGTCTGTTTTTACCCCCAGCACAGTGCCTAGCACACAGAAGATGCGCAATAAAGATTGTTGAATGAATCTCTGAAACAGATCAAAGCAGACAGCTCTGGTTGTAGTGGAGGGGTGAGGCTAAGGGGCTGCCTACTCCACTGCCCTCCTCAGTAGCAGCCCCCAAAGGCTTCTGGGGAACACTTTGAAAAGTGATTTGCCCAAAATAACAGGGCAAGTTAGTGAAGGCCAGGTCTTGGAGATAGACCTCCTGAGTTGGTCCCCTGCCCCACATGCCTTGGTGGTGAAGGTGCAGAGGTTCTGAGGCCTGGGAAATGCAGAGGCAGTGGGCCAGCCAGCCTCTCAGATCAGGCCATGGACGCCCAGGCCAAACTGAACTGAGGGAAAACTACAACTCCCAGCAGCACTTGCAGCAGCTCCAGCAACCAGGCTTCCCTCGGACAGAGGCCAGGTGGCCATGTTGACTGGGCCCCAGGCGCAGATAGGAAAGGGGCCGACAGGCGAAGGCAGTGATTAACGCATCAAGACTGGAACGGAGTACCTGACCGGGGGGCCCGGGAGACATGGAAGCTGGGAGGATGGAAATGAGCTAAGATAGACCCAGAAGAGAGGGTGGAACCCTGGGCAAGAATCTGAGGGGTATCTTGCTCCAAACATGGAGTCTACATGCTCCTGGGCACCTCCCCCACTTGCCCTGTGGCCTCTGGGGACAGAGGTCCAGCCCCTCCCCCCAGGAAGGCCCGGCACCAACTGCTCACTGTCCACCCCCGCCCCCCCGCGACCAGGAGAGCTGAGGTGTGAATGCAGAAGGTGGAAAGGGACACTGTTCCCCCAACCCCCCAAAACACACGATCTCCATCGCCATGACAACTCAACCCCGCCCCCAGGGGCCACTCAGCTACCAGGAATGTGACCACCCCTCCCCCCAGGCCCTCTGTCCGGATTGGGGAGGAGGGGACACTAACACACACCCCACCCCCAAGCCTAGACTCTGGCTCCTGGGGCCCAGGGCTGTGCTGGAAACCACAGTTAGGGCTGGAGGGCCTGGGCCCTCTCAGGAAGCTAGACCTGGGTGGCGGGGAGGGGGGCGGAGGAAGAGGAGCCAGTCCTCCGCCAGGACACCTGGGTCCAGTTACCAGCTAGTTCCCCACCCTCTTCTCAGAGGGAGAAGCAAAAAAACAAAAAAACAAAAATGAGAGCCTCCAGGGCTTAGAGATCCCAGAAGAATGGCACAGTACAATAATAGCCCCTTCCCTAGGCTTCTTCCCGGTGGATCTCTGCACCGGGAACAGGGCCGGGTAGGATCTAATGATCTCCAGCTGAGAGCGCAGCAGCAAACTTGGAGCTCTGCATTTTCAGGGCCCACACCAGAGCCAGAGCATGAACATGCTCCTAGAAAATATGTGATGAAAGGGAAGAAAGTGAGGCTCAGGAGAGGGGTAAGTGCTCTCGAGCACAGCAACAGCAAAGCAACTCCCCCGACCACCAGTCCCTTTCCCGCTGAAATCAAACTTGGAGAGAGGTAGCTGACCAGTGTAACAGGACTCAGGAAGCGGCAGCCACCGAACCTCAGGGGTGGGGGAGAAATAAAAGAATGGATAGGAATTAAAAATAGAATGAGACAGGCCAGATATACCCACCCTGCTGGCCTCTAGCCAAATATAAGGTGGGTCTAGAGAAGGGAGGCCAGGGCCTGGGCAGATGGGCATCTACCCCCCTGCCTCACCTTGTGTGTGGGCACCTGTGGAAAAGGGGCCAGGAGGTGCGCGCTCTTTTCATTTAATAAAATTTCCACCCCCAAGCCCCTGGAGAAATCCCTTCTACAGTGGACCTTCCACCCTTCAAGCTACAAAGGAAATGCCTTTTTGCATTTAGAAGATGATATGAGGTCCCTGAGAATGCTTGTACCCCCAATACAAACATATGTCTCCCAGGCGGTGCCTTTATATCCAGGCTGTGACTCAACAAATGAGTCAAGGCTAAGTGGGTCAGGGTGGGGCCAGATCAGTGCTGGAGACCCACTATACCCCCTCCACTGGCCCAACAGGGGAGAGGGCTTTGCTACTTCTCTGCCATTCCAGGAATCCAGGCAAGTTATTTTTTCTCCCAGGCCAGGCCCACCAATTCCACCCTTCTGCATTTGCCTAGCTCCATCTGACAGGCCGAGCATATGAAATCCTGTTCTCCCAGAGCCCTTGGACACCCTGAGGTCTCAAGAGGGATTTGAAGTTCCCAGGTGAGGAGTGGGGGAGAGGATTGAGTATCGCACCCCAGTTTCGGACCAAATCTAGGCCTAGGGTGGCTAAGCCCACAGTGCCTGCCAGTCAGGGTTATAACCACCACACCCAGGGCCAAGGCCCCACCTGACCCAGGAACCGGAAAATCTGGGGCAGGAGACAGTTGGGGCCGGGAAAGTGTGGCAAACCCAAGAAGCAGAAAAGAGAAGGTAGTGCCTGGATGTGGGGGAGGGGCAGAGGGAGGAAAGATGGGTGAGGCCCTCTGACTGCTCAGGTTTTCTGGGACTGTGAAACAGGAAGGGAGAAAGGAGGAAGGAACCTGGGGGACAGGGAGGTCCCTGAGTCTTGGAGGTTAATTAAGTGCTTGGAGATCCCCCAGGAAGTCAGGCAGGAGGAAGAGGGAAAGGAGAAGGTCAGGATGGAGTCACACTATCCTTCCAGGTAGGTCTTGCCTACCACGTGGCCCCTTTGGCTGGGCTCTCCCAGCCCTGGGCTGTTCTGGTCTCACCCAGAATCAGCCATCCTACCCAAAAGCAGGGGCTTTGAAAGGAATTCCACACAGTGGCCTTCACCAGGGGAGAGGGGTGGTCCCCTGCTCCTACTCCATCTCAGGAGGGTCCAGGCCAATAAAGGCTTCACCACTCTAGAGACTAAGAGCACATCCAACGGATGGTGAGGAGACTGATTTGTCTGTTCTTTTGGTGTTTAAGGGGGATGCACGTCAGAAATAACAGCCTTGGATGTAGCGCTCCCCCCTAATTGTGACAGTCATGGGCCAGAGCACAGGCAAAGGGTGGGGCCTGAGCCCTGGGATCCTGGTCTGATCTCTCTCCCCTCCCTTCCCCAGCCCTAACTTTATCTAGAAGGCCCAGGCATCAACAAAGGAAGGGCCTCGGCCTCCCTGTCCCACCCTCGGCCCTGAAGGCCACTGGGAAGAGACAAAATGGATGGCATCCCCAGCCCCAGGCCTTGCCCTCACTCCAAAGGCCAGAAATCTTAAGAGATTCCTCGCAGGGTCAATGTAGGCCCATCAGTGTCTCCCTGATCCCTTTTCTCTTCCCCGATGCTGAGGGGGTTCCCTGCAAACTACATTCCAGCTGTACCCCCTCCCCAGGCCTTAGCCTAGTCTCTGGACTTTGTCCCACCCCAGGAGGCAGGAGCAGTAAAGACCTGGATTCAGTTCTTGTCCTGCCCACCAGGGCCTTGGCATCTAGGCCAAGAAGAAAGTTGGATCAAAGGTGCAGGGTAAAGTACATGAGTGTTCACATGCCACACACACACATGCACACACAAGGCTTCCGTGGTTGCTGCCTCCCCTAATCTTTAGGAGGCCCTGGAAGCTGGGAGAGTCCTGCTTCTCTTTGCACTTCATTCCCATTCCAGAGGCCAGACATCTAAAAGTTTCAGGAAATAAGGAGCTCAAGGGATTAGGGATACTCCTCAGAAGAGGGTACAGAGTGAGGAAGGGTCTTCTGGGTTTCCTCAGAGTGACCCCAAAGTTGGCCTGACACTCTGAACAGGACACCAGGGAGCCTGGGGTAACTTCCTAAACTCAGAGCAGGATCTGCGCCAGATGAAGACACAGACTCACACCAAGAACAAACCACAGCCTTAAGGAAATTCTACACTTGGCCCCCTAGCCCAGAAGACGCCCTCCCTCCACCCCTCTCTGCCTTTGGATTTTACTCTGCTCGAGCCCTACACTAGGCACTCTAGGTACCTAACACCAAGGCCTCCCCTACAACAACTTTGAAATAAGTTGCCAGAGGCACTGGCCCCTGTGACACCCTCAACACCCTCGGGCCACCTTCCTCGCTCCTTACTTCACCTGTCTCAGTCCTCAGGGAAAACATGACAACACACCCAGAAGGACTTTTGGGCCCCACCCTCCCACCTGGCCAGGTGCTGGAAGGGGGGAGGGGCCCTCATATTGGCGGGCTGATCCACCACATGGCAGATTCGGCCTTTGGGGCGCGAGAGGCTCACGTTGGGGGTGGAGGGGATCTGTAGCAGCAGCTCGCGCTCTGCGCCTCGCCGGGCCCCGCCTCCGCGAAGAGGCAGTATGGAGTGGACATCCCTGCCCCACAGGGCCCCTGCACCCACAGCCCCAAATTTGAGTTGGCAGCACATGGAGGCATATCTTTGTGGGGCTTAGGAGTGAAGAGTTCTGGAGGATAATTTCCGAACCAGGTAGATCACCTTTTACACCGACCCCAACCACTGCTCGACCCTCCCAACTTCAGACCTCTTAAGGACGCCCTGAACCAAAGTTTTCTAGAAGCGAACTCCGCCTCCATCTATTCCTTTCTGGGCTGGGATCCTTCTTGAACCATTTAACCCAGGAAGGAGTTTGAGCCAGGGGCTACAATCAATGAAGAAACTGGGGGTCTCTAAGGGGGTCCCAGAGGGGGTGGCGGTGGCGCCTGGGGGGCGGGAGGAGTTACACGACCGGCCCAAACCCAGGCAGCAGGTCCGAAACCGCTGGGAGAACGGGGGCTGGGGGCAGAAGTGAGCACGCAGAGCCAAGTCGGGAAGTGACCCGCGCCCTCGGGTCCCCACGCCGCGCACACGCCTCTAAGCTCGGATGCGGTCTTGCCAGGTGTTCGCCGCCCCCACCCCATCGCCTCCCCCATTATATAACTGGCGAGCGGGCTTGGAGGCGCTGGGAAAAAGTCGGGGTCCCAGACCCCCCCCTCGCAGAGCGCCAGCACCCTCCCGGGTGTTATGCAACCCAAGCCCGGAGGGGGAATCGGACGGCCAGCCCCGCCGCTTACCCTGGCCGGCCAGTGTGGGTAGCCTTTCATCTTGGCGAACACCAGGTCCCCGCATTTGTACTCCTTTTGCCGGTTGGATCGCGACATGGCTGGGCTCCGGGTGCCCCGGGCTCCGCGCCGGGCCGGGAAGCGCGAGCCCAAGTTGGCGCGTGCG